CTGCAACCAAAAAATAGCCGGGTGTTGTGGCGAGGGCCTGTAGTCCCAGCTACTTGGGAGGCGGAGGCAGGAGAATCACTTGAGCCCAGGAGTGGGAGGTTGCTGTGAGCTATGATGCCACGGCACTCTACCCAGGGGGACAGCTTGAGGCTCTGTCTCAAAAAAAAAAAATGAGTGTATTAACAAATGAATGAATGAATGAATCTAGTCCCTCCCCTGGGATTGTGTTATTAAGACTTTGCAGTTTTTGTGTCAGGGAAGGGATTAGGGTGTGTGCTCCCTATTCAAGGTAGAGCCACCCAAAACATTTCAGGCTGCTTTGTTGCTGACCTTGCCCAGAGCCCAGAGGGTGTGGCCTGGAAAGAGCAGCCTGTTTGTGCCCAGAGATGGGGGTCTGATTTCTGAGCTCACCTGGGCCTAGAGAATGAGGTGGGGGGCCCTGTCCAGTTCTGAGTAGGGGAACAGTATTAATTACTCCTCCCTCTCCGAATAGAAGCTCTAACTACGTTAGGGGAAAAAGGGTACTGACTGCTCCAAACTACTTCCTGCTGAAGATGGACAGTGGATAAAGGGGTGCATTTAGGGTTTCTCTGGAGAGAGACTGATCTGGAATTCCACAAATGGTTCAGGTCTTGGACTGGAACCCTTTCTATTGCTGGTCCCCTTTCACCACCTGCAGTCTTGACCAAGGGTCACAAAGCAGGATACAGTTGCTTTCTGACTGTCCCAACAGGACCAGAAGAAACTCTTGAAATAGATTCTTTCTTGGGATTTTCTAAAGGCATAGAGGAAGGTGCCAGAGAAGTAGATAGATGGTGGGTTTGTACTAGGAGGTGACACCCTCTCTCTCAGGAATCTCTGGTCATTTGGGGAAGTTACTACATCCAGAAGAGTGGATCTATCTGACAGGTTTTACACAGTTGGAGGTTGTCCCTGAGAAAAAAGAAAGTTTTCATGTAGGACACTTCAGACCACTTCTCTTGTTTACAAAAAAATCTAACTAAAAAATAGTATCATAATTTAGAGTACCCCTCTGGTGGCCATTGTTCATCCTTGGCAAGTCAATACTGAGGCCAGGCCTGGGTGCAGAAGAAAACCATGCGTTCTTTTTTTCAGTGTCTGGGGATCAAACATGTCCCAATGCTTCATAATACAGCCCAGCAGGGTGTTCTTTTGGTGAGAGAATATGTTACCCATCACAGATCTTCAATCCCGGATGATGGCACCAATATATGTTCCAGAATTTCTTTCTTCAGAATGTCCTTGGTCTTGGGTATTGGAAGAATGAACCTGCAGACCACACATTAGTGGTCAAATCTTTTTTTTTTTTTTTTTTTGAAAAAAAGTTGGCTCGGTGCCTGTGGCTTAAGTGGCTAAGGCGCCAGCCACATACACCCAAGGTGGTGGGTTCAAATCCAGCCCAGGCCCACCAAACAACAATGACAGCTGCAACCAAAAAATAGCTGGGCGTTGTGGCGGGCGCCTATGGTCCCAGCTACTTGGGAGGCT